GTGAAATGCGCACGTACATCGATCGCGCACGTGCTCAGCGCGCCACTCGTCTCGACTGAACGCGCCGCGATGGGGCACGAGCGCTCGTGATTGCCGTGAATCAGAAATTCGTTGTTCACCGACGAATTGTTAAAGGACACGGCGCATTCCTTTAGTTTTTTTTAAAATTGTCTTTGTTTTTACATCCAACAGCGGCGGATTTTGGAGTTGCAAGAGAAAGGGAACAGATTCAAAGCCACGATTGTTTCGTCGTCAGCATCCCACGCCGCTCGTTGAGGGGCAGATTAAAGCCGTTCGCTCGTTTGCCTTTTAGAGATCTCGACTGCTTCCCTTTAGACGAAGCTGCTGTCATCCCACGTTCTTCGTCTAATCAATTAGCTCCCGTAACCTCAGCCCTCAGAAGCAGCGTGCCGTTCTTGGGGCGGCTGCAAAGTCCATCGTCACGCACAGAGCGGAACGCCGCCGGGTAGTACAGAAAGGCTCGAGTCATTCTCGCTCGAGATCATCAGCGGCTCAATTCCCATTAGCGGCTCGTTGGGGCAGGTAAACAGGGTTCATTATCCGAGCACCACGACTCAGAGACCCCCAGGAGGAGATCTGGCCGCTTGGCACGGTGGACTTTAGACCCACGGGACACCCATTCACCAAAAAAAATGCAGCATTTGAATCACGGTCTTAATGCTATTCAGGAGAAAAGTTACACGCAGGCAGGGAAATGGTGCAAGCAAAGAGGAAAGTGCGAGCTGCGGTTTTTTTGTCTTCTTCTTCTTCGCCGTGGTTATTTATGTATTTCTTCCCTCGAACTTGGCCACTTAACCGTAGAGGTTAATTTAATAATAGCTATCTGTTCTTGACAATCTGTAATATAATATATATTTGTACTTATTGAGTTTATATTCACATCCGCTGCCTATTAACGATGAGATGTACGAAGCGATTTAAGGGCCCGTGATTAATAATGCACAGTGTGTCCGCAAGGCAGCGCGAGACACGCGGGGGGCGGGGGGGCGGGGGGGTAGGTGGCGAATCGTAGCAGAGCAATTGGTGGCGCGGCATCAGCTACCCTGGCTGCCCTTTGCCGCTCACGAATCCCATGATAATTCATTTATTTATACAGAATCATCACTTAGGTTTGTTGCCATTTTTACCGTTCTACCCGGCCACTTTTTGTAAATGCCAGTTGCGACCGACGGGAAGTTTTACACTGCACGGACGTAACATTGTGGCATTTAAACGTTTTCTTATTTTACATTTTCAGTGTTGCCATAATTGCAAGTTGGTCTAGCGTAGAGGCAGACATTTGTTTTGCATGAGTCAACGTTTCCGTGATCTCAGATGAGCGTTGATATGGTGCTCATCTCACATCTACAGCCCTGAACTCGTGGTGGAAATTCCACATTCCTATGGCGGTGAATCTATCTTATAGAGCCAATGATGACTTTCCCACAAAGTAGTAGTCACTTTATCGACACCTATAAGGATGATGGGCCGAGTCAACCCCCGGACAGGATTTGAACTCGAAATGTTCCGATTGAGCGTCGCTGAGCACCTGGGTCGGTTGCGTTTATTTTGTGATAAGAGTTTTAGGTGTAGTTACTGATAGAAAATCACGGAGCAGCGTACGTTTTGCTACTTTTTAAACAACTCGCAAAAAAATCTGAAAATTAATTTGCAGCAAGCCAGGAATGCAAATAACCTTTCCAGCCCGACCAATTTATTCCAGACATGTCATGCTGGCACTTTTCAAATGGTAAAGGTTGTTTTAGTGCATGATTACTTTTTTCCTTTACTTGTATAACTGACATCTTATCAACTGGGCACAACAAAGTTAAGTTTTGGAGTTTAGGCATTTATTAATTTTAATCATAGAACATCCAAGTGCTGTACATTGTTTCCGTTGATAAGTAAACGGTGCATATCACGTGTATTGAATGCAGTGTCGACAAGGCAGCCCTCTCGTGCCAATATAAACTAAAACTTTTTGTTCATGGAAGATTACCACATGGGCTCAGGACAATACAAAAGAAATACAATTATGACAGATTTTCCTCGAAAATAGCTTCAATTATATTAACAAAGTAAAGCTCTCTTCGCTCGTGAGGATGAGCGGGCCTACTTTAGCCGTCAAGATGCCTGTGAATAAGAGCTCCACGGCTCAGCGTTTTTCTCCAGGGTAAATAAAATATTCTCATTCTAACTGCAATGCGAATAGCGATCGCTACTACCCCGCAGCAATTTTCAAAGTTACCCACCGTGGTCACCGTCGCTATCAGGAGAACGCCGCTGTTTGTCAACCCCGTGAATTATTGCCATTGTTTTGACCGAGAGAGATGTTTTTTTTTTAACACGGCTCAAGAAATAAATCCCGTTGCATAATGATTTTAATATTTAAAGCTGGCGTGGCTCCCTTTTTTTTTTACGTGTGTCATATTAAAATCTGGGCCCGGCGCATAATTTTTGCGATGAACAAAAGCCGTTCCTTCGAGCGCACGCTGCGATCAACTGATGGCGTGAGCATCTCGTCTCGTCTTGCGCCGTCTGCGAGCGAAAGTAATTACATTTCAGCGGAAACAATAGCTGCGAAGCGAACGGAAGAGCCCGGCGCGCGGTCTTGTCTGAAACGAATCTTCAGATACGCATATCGTCTTTGGGGAATGCAGAGAAGCAGGCGGCACAAATTAAAATAGGGTTGATAGATTTTTTTTTTGCACGAAATGTAACCAGATTTGCTGAGGAGAGAGGGCCCAAGTGTTGAGTACAGGTTGTTTGTGGATTTTGCACTGGGTGTGTAAAAATAGTGGGCAGAAAGCTACTTCGAAATGCACCCCGTGTTGTGGATTGTGTGTGACATGCCATGTTATTACACTCTCGGTTTTATGTGGGGGAGGGGTTTGGCATCTAACGAAGGTGAACAATTATCCAAAGTGATAACAATATGGTTTCCATGAAGCCCGTACTGTTGTGCGGTATCGTGGGTTTTCTGTGGTATTTTACTGCACCAGCAGTCTCATTGGGGGAATGAATGTGCTCGTCGGTAGAAAAACCTTTCCTAAAATCAGATCGCTCGTGTGGTGTGTTGACGTCTAAACGTACAGCCCCTCGTCATTCTACTGCTGGATGAAGGCCTCACGTTGTGTCGGTCATGGGAGTTGTTTGACCATTCTTCACCGCGCTGGTCAGTGCGGGTTTGTAAAGCAGAGCATCCAAGACCAATTCAGTCATCAATCAGCACTGATGCTAACTGTGGCAAGAAATCGAACTCGGGGTGTACTCTGGGCACATCGTCCATGAGCCCAGAGTAGATACCTCGCTCGTTGGTAACCTCCTCGGGTGGCGTCAGCTGTTGAGGTTCCAACTTCTTCACGTGGCCGATGATAGTGAACGGCGTGATGACCGTTGGCAACGAGAAAGCTATCAAATAATTCACTCGTATGAGCCGCGTAAATGCATTGGTGGCACTTAAGTTTAGCTGCAAGAAGTGGTGCCACTTTCTGCTCAGGACTACCACTGAACAAATGCACGTACAGTGGTATCGATTTCTAAATAAAAACCCAGTTATATTCCACCGACAACTCGGCGCATCATTGTGAATTGTGATATTCATCTTTGAATTTCCCCCCCTCCCCACCTCTCCCCACCCAACTTGATAAAACAAAAAAAATACATTCGCAGGTGAGAGATGGCGTTCGTGAAGTGTCGCAGAAAATAGTGTGGAGATTGGAGGAATGGTTTAGGAGAGGTCATGAAGAGAGGATGGATGGTTTCTCACTCCGCTTAGACTCTGCTGGCGAGGAACACGAAGGGATTTTAATGGACGGGCCAATTCTCTTCACGGTGACATCGGTACAGCCATAAAACAACAACAGCCCTCCACTCAAGCAAGGCACCGAGTTAACATTTTAAAATGATCCACAGGGGGAGCGCTGGAGTGAAACGGCCTTGTTTGGCTCCCTGCGCGGCGCGTCATGAGAAGCCAGATGGATATGTAGCCGTCACGACCCTGGTGGTGACAGCGACCCTCTGTGAAGCGTTCCCGGCGCTTCGCGGTGACTCGGCTACGTCATTCATATAGAGGGGGGGGGGGGGGGGGTGGTGGGGGCAGTCACTTATCGACGTGCGATCGTACACCGAACGAGCGAGCACAGTTTATTTTCAATCAATGTGACACGGAATGATTTCCGGCCCCTTTGTCAGTCTACCGTCGGACAAAGGCCTCCTCGTGGGTTTGTGTCGTTCATCGGGATTTGTTTGACCACACTTGGGCACGCTGGTCCGTGCGGGTGCCCAGCACCGGCTCGGACGTCGCGCGGCACTTGGTGTTAGCCGTGCCCGGTAGCGAACTCGGCTCGCTGGGTCGATGGCGCAGTGTGCTAACCACTTTCTACACGCCTCCGCCGGCCGTGCTCATTGTTGTCGTGGATGTGTACGATTGTTAGAAGCCACGAGTCGTTAAATAATTTCGGGGGGCCAACAGGGAACTGGTTGCAGATGGGAGATATTATGTAGGATGAGCGCGTGCGCATATTTGCGTGCGGTTCATTTATATCGCGGATTTATAAGAATATCACGAGCAAGGGCTGACATTAAGAGGCATTTAACGGGAATAATATGAAGAGCTTTTCACCGTAATGAATGCATTACGCGAGACTGCAGCGTGCGTTGGCCGCGAGTGTGAATGTCCCTTCGAGGCGGTGTGGCCTGGTGCTGCTGCTGCTGCTGCGTGGCCAGACGAATTGCGCCGCGTTTGTCATCATCGCGTTGCCATCGTCCGGACGCGCGGGAACGCATCCGCGCGCGTGCATGCGTGCGTGCGTGCGATCCAACATCAACACCGTCCCGCGCGCGAGATTATCCCTGCACCTCGCCACGAGGTCCGACGCTCGCGACCGGCCCCTGCCGGGGCCGCGAACGGCGATCGCGATGCGGCTGTTTCGGCGTCTGCAAATTTCGGAAACGCCGCTGAAACGAAGCCCCTCGGAATTCGCGAATTTCCTCCGCAGGACAGCGACCTGCTCACGTTTAACATCTCGTACCACCGCTCGTGGTGGCGGGATTACGGCTCGGCCTGCCCCCCCGCGCCACCCACGGCGCTGCCGGGCCCCTCGGTGGCAGGCGACACGGTGTCCGACGGCCTCACGGGGCCCGTGGCGGTGGGCGTGGTAGAATGTCCGCTCGAGTTCCAGTTCGTCGAGGTCATCCACAGCGCCTGCCAAATCGTGCTCGCGGTAAGCCGTCTCTCTCTCCCCCCCCCCCCCCCCGTGAACGATGCGTGCGTGTGTGCGTGCGTGAGTGTGTGCGTGAGTGCGTGAGTGTGTATGTGCGTGTGTGCGTGCGTGTATGCGTGCGTGTGCGTGCGCGTGTGCAGTCGCTATATTGCCATTTTGGTGCTTTTAAACTCTCATTATCAGTGGCAGGGGAGGGAAGACCGGGGAGAATAATTGGCGATTATTGAACAAAGGCATGCTGTGCCTTCTTTCTATGATCGTGAATATCTCGAGAAAGAACAGTTGGATCTCCACGGATTTTTTTTTTGTATTCAGAAGTCCTTCGCAGCGGATGTGAAAATTATCGCGGGGTCTTTTTGTTTGTTTGTTAGGTTAACAGCGTACAGACTGCCATCTGCTTCCTTATCGCTCCATTAGTACGAGCTCATTATTATGGGGTCTTATTTATTTCGGGCTCGGGTGCAGCCCTCCAACCCGCTGGCTGCCGGCGCCGCTTGAAAGGGGGGAAAAAAATAAGATAGAGGCGCAAGGGCAGGGCAAGAGCAGTTGTCGTGTCGAGCCTCCGACCATCCCCAAGAGCGACCCAGCGTGGAGCCGGGAATGGGAATTAATGCGGAGATTTGGAGGCTCCAATCACCCCCGTGGCTTGGCAGCTGCAGCAACGGCTGCTAGCAGCGGATCCCGTCTTGGTGGCGGAACACTTGCACCGCAGCGGCTGCCTGAGAATTGGGACGCGCGGGGCATCGGCTGATATTAATGGGAGTGTGTGCGCATGGCCGCAGTTTGTATTAAAAAAGAAAGATCCCTTCTGGATGAACACAGCAAAAAAAAAAAATCTAATTTATTAAGAGTGAATGTGAAGTGCAAACACTGGATTTTATTGGATAAAGGACAGTTTAGCCAGAGAAATCCACGTTACTATACAAAAAGGAGGCTGTAAGAAAGCTGAAATAGATTTTATTTGCACTTTACACCGCTAAGAAACGATCCGGTCCAGTTTTTTAAATTAATAATTTACCAATGAACCGTATACGGTCCCTTGAGGCCAAAAAATAAATAAAACAAGAAAACTGAATCTGATCCCTGTCTGTTGACAGAACTTCAAAGTCAAAGCATTTCCTCTACAAGGAATGCCATTAAAATGCGGGGCGCAATAATTGATTGCATTTGTTTGTGCTTGGCTCGAATCAGAACGGTGTGGCGTCAGGTGACGAATCCGCCTCCGCGCGTGGCCACCCCGCGGAGTGCGCGAAGAAAAAAAAATATTGAAAAAAAAATTGCGCAGCCTATAAATTAAATCCATTACTCATTTTACATTCAGGTGAAACCGTGGCCAAGTTGGGGTGTAACCTTTAGCGTTACCGCGTGTAATGGGACCCTCAGAATGCCAAATCATTTTTTACCGTCACAGGCGCGTTGGTGGGGGGGGGGGAGTTTGCGTGGCTTTCTCGCGATGGTCGTATCTCAAATCTCTACCTGTTCATATTTACACGCCCAAGTGAACGGTCGGGATAATTATTCCCCCCCCACTCCCCCCCCGGCTTGGCGTTGTTTATTTAGGCGGTGATTTCTGAATGCACCGAGGGCTTCTTGGGTTAATTGGCCATTTTTCATTTGTAGCCAGCTAATTTAATGTCCGCGTCGTTAGAATCCACCCGAGATAGGAATTAGTCGATCTAATGGAAAGCGATTACCAAGGGCTGTAATCAGATGGTCACAATTTGCTCGTAATGGTTCTTTAATGGAACGGTAGCGGGCAGAAGCTTTCTTATTTCGCAGGTACACGGGCGAATCGAGCAGAGTCGTTCCGCAGGGGGAAATCTCACTTGAAAGGGTGCAATTGAAACAAATGTCAGTACTTGGCCAATGTTGTGTTTGACAGAGATTAAGGTAATTGCTCACAATGAGGATTATAAGTATGAAAACCCACACCGGGCGCCCGTTTCAGATTCTAACTAAGTTCGCCTGCACAGGCATGCAAGCGATAAAATACGGAAATGTTTCCTTATTAAATATTTAAAACGTGAAGAATTCCACACCTCTGACTTCACACTTTTTAACTATTTATAAAGAAGGGAACAAATGTATTTGTGTTTGGTTTTGTTTGTTGACATTTAATTGCGATGCGGTGGGAAAGGAAATATTTGCCACAGCAAGGTGTGGGGGGGATGTGGGGGGGATGGGGGGGGCTTCTGTTGTTTGCCACTCTGATGCGGCTCTCTCTCTCTCTCCCGCATTGCACAGCGTTGAGACAAAGTAGGAAGGAACTAATATTTTATCTTTCTCTTTGTACGTGTGTCGCCAGCTGGTTTGTTTTGTCTGCGCCTGCTATGTCATCAGCGTGTTCACGGAGGAAGAGGACAGCTGTGAGTCCCGCGTGCACATCGCTTCCCCCCAAACGCGCTCGCCGCTGTTTCTGCAAATGGGTGGAGCACGCGCGCGATCGCGCGGCGCCACTTTGTATTTATCTAGCGCCTCGATGCGACCGTCTACCGTTGCAATATACGGCAGCGGCGCCAGAAATCAAACGGTTACAAAAAAAATGTGACATTCAAGCTACAAAAAATGACCTTCAAGCTACACACTTATTACTCGTCGTTTTTTTTTCCATTTCCCCCCCCCACCCCAATTTCATCCCGATTGGGCCATCGCCGTCGTGCCATGAGGCATCCGTTGGGATCTCGAGCAGCAGCGCAACAGTAAACACACGGGCGCCTCTCCTTACCGTGCCAAAACAAAACACCGCCGCCCGCAGTGGCTGTGTTGATATGCATCACCATTGTTGCGGTGTCCAAGACTTGTCTTGTTTTGCTTTCTCCACCTTGACCCCGTGCCTCACCTGGCGAGCGCGATTACCTTGTGTGTGGCTTCACGCCCGGGCTGGCGCGTGTGTTTCCGTGGCCGCAGTTGATTTCATCGGTGGATTTGACTCGTACGCGGCGTACCGGGGCTCGCAGAAGATGTCATACCTCCAGCTGCAGCCGCTGTATCTGTGAGTATATGCCTGGGCAGCTGGGCTGCCGTTCGTTGTAATGTCTCTGCAGGTAGCCAGGGTAGCCTCGAAATGTTTTACCGTGTCGACCAATTTAAAGTGAAGCTTCCGAATGCCTGAGAGGCTCAACTGGGACATACGGCGAGCTGGATGGCCCCGCCCCACCCCACCCCTCTATAAGCCCCACCTACTTTTACATATCTACGCCCACTGAACCACTCGCCCTTGAAGCACTGCTCAGGTAGCTCCGCCCTTTGTACCGATGGGTTGAGCATGAAGCCATAAAATGAAGCGAGAAAAAAAAACTTGGGGCAAAATCCCAGTTTTAAAAAAAAATCTTCAGGCCACCTGGACAATTTGAGCCAAACCGGGAGATTTGATAGCCTTAAATGTAAAGGTCACATCGTGATGCCGTGATGTCGGAACATTATCGGATACTTATGTGGCTTTCGAAAGAAGTACACATTTATCCAGTTAATTCGCGGAATAAAAGATCCAATTACATTCTGCACGTGAGAAGTGGCTCCTTATTTGCAAGTGTGACAGACACGTTTGTGGAGAGGATCATCCACCAAGATCGCAATAGCCCGCTAAAGGCCAACGGGCCTTCTTTGTATGCGAGCCCTGTTTGCTTGCAGAACGGTGATGCCGTGCTGCATATAAAAACCCGCCCACTCGCTTGATTTAATTTTATCCTTTTCGCATCCGAGGTGCGCCCGGTTATGAGCCCTGTCCCAGTACCTCTGGTAATGTGCTGCAGGCACAATGTATCAAATGGCCCCGCGACGTTTCATTTCAAGAACAAAATATATCCCCCGGCACTTTCCACCAGTCGGCCACTGTGTGCGCAGGTTCAACGCCAACGCGGGTGTCTCCATTGGGAAGAGACGCACGGCCCTCGTGGGCCAACTTCCTGACAAACCCTGTACCACGCAAAAAAGTGTGCTGTTAACCCCTGCGGGCTAGGTTCCATTCCCAGCAGTGGCATATGTCGGTAGTGAGTGATGTGTGAACCGGTCCTGCAATTGGTCAGTCAGGTGATATTTGGTCAAACAAACCCCATGACCAACACAGTGTGGGGAGGCCTTCATCCAGTCGTGGATCGACAAAGGTTAAATTACTTTAAAATAATATTAAATTACTTTAAACTATAATGCTTCGATTAATTCCCTGGATTATTTTATGAAAGCGAAATGGTATCGTTGAAAAAAAAAGTCTAAATGCTCAAATGAGCGCAAGGGTAGCGTTGCTTTCTTCTTATGGCACTGGGCGAGTGGTGGAAATTCCACATTCCCGTGGCAGGGACCAGTCTATCCAAAGGATGATCACTGTTGACTTCCCACAAAATGGTACTTTGGTTCTTTCGGTAAAGTCACGTAGAATGAGAATAAAATAATAAATTAATAAAATAAAATTTCATTTGAAGCTCTGTCGTCCCGACAGGTCTGTTCCTTTCACCTGAAGGCCACTTGTGTTGTGGCCGAAACGTCGTGAGAATTTTATTGTTTTATTTTATTAATTTATTATTTTATTCTCATTCTACGTGACTTTACCGAAAGAACCAAAGAAGATGAATCCTTGCAGTCACGAAAGCTTTAAATCGAAATTTAAAATGGTACTTATTTTACAAACGCTAGAGGGACGAGAGGCTGAATCTATCCCTGAGTATAATTAGAATTTGCAGGCTTTGGATGATGCATGAAGCACACCTGACCAACTGAGTAAAGTATGCGGTGAATTCCACACTCTAATTAATTGACCCACAAGTCAGGGTTTAACTATTTTCCACGAACCGGCATCAGCGTAAATTGTGCTCATATCATGATAACCTTAAAGGTCCCGGACGGAGTGGAAGCATGAGGCAGCGCCATGTGCTGACCATTAACGATAGGAACACAAATGGAAGTCAACAACGTTTACTCAATCAAAAAATTACACAGAGCAGAGTCTGGTGGATACAGTTCTGCATATGTGTGTGCACGCGCGTGTGTGAATGCGTGTGTACGTGTGTCTATGGGGAGCGGTAGTGTAGCGGTTAGCGCACTGCGCTACGAACCCGGCTTCACGAGTTCAATTCCCACTTACAGTCAACACCAGCGATGGCTATCTGAACCGGCCCTGGGCCACCCCAAGGTCGATTCAGCCTTAAATGGGTTCCTAGTGCGGTGTGTAAACATCGCCACTAGGGAGACAAAGACGGCCTGGCGTGGTGCTGGCCACCCACCCCCTCACGTGCCGTGTCGGCCTTCAAAGGTGTCCGCTAGCAGCACTTGCCCCAAAAGTATGCTAAGGCTTCACGGGGATCTTTGTCTTGTTGCGTGCGTGCCTCGACCTGCAGGCCTAAATAGGCATCTGCAGAGACCTCTGGATTCTCCTTCCGCGGCGCTGGCTCGGCATGGGGGAAGGGGAGGAGGGGGGGTCACAGCGGGGGGTCACAGCGGGGGGGCCCACGGGCAACCTCGCCCGGCGGAGCGCGACACAAAGCGGCGTGGCGAGCGGACGGCTCTGGCGACGTCACTCCGCGAGCTGTCCGAGGCGGGTGGTGGCGCCCGCTCGCTCGCTCGCTCGCTCCTCCCAGCCGGTGGTCACCCGGCCGCCCCGCGCCCTTGTGATGTCCACGACACAGGAATTGTAATTTGCATGTCACAAAAAAAAGCGTCACCTGCGGGTTCAAGTCCTTGTTGGTTTTGTTTTTAATGATAGTTTTTTTTTTGGGGGGGTGGTGGTGGTGGTGGTGGGTTTGTTCTCTGACCTATTTGGCAAAAACAATGCCTTTGAGAAGTATGGCAATAATTCTGTGCTCTGCTTCAGTTGTGTCCCACTTTAATTAGGTATTCATTTAATGAAGTTCCTGACACGAGTGTCAGGGGGCTCGCTACCTGTGGGGGTTCCTCTGCTGTCTCTCGTCCCGCAGAGGCTCGTATTCTGAGCCACCCTCAGTGGGGAATTTCTACATTCAACAGCTCGCTGTGGAGAGAGTTAAATGAAGATGAATGGGATCATCTTTCTACCTCTATATATTTCCCAGTCTTGATTTAACTCTGCTTCACCACTGGGAAAGGATCGCAGTACAATTGAACGGCCGTGCTGTCATTGACCGGAAGATTCTCTCACGTAGTCCACAGAGATCCCACGTTGTCATCAGCCTCCAGCCGTGGTGGGTAGCGATTCAATCCACCTTTGCATCTGGCTCGTTCGTCCGTCGCTCGGCGCTCTCCGATCTCTCTGCGGCCACGGCCATATTTTACGAATACGCTGCAGTGTTGTTTTGTGTTGTTGTTAAAACCCCTTCAATTGCATTGGCACGTGCGAATATTTCTTGAATTTCCTGACCACGAACTGGAGTTGTGCCCGAGCAGCCCCGGCACGCGCGTGCGCACGCCCGCTGTTGGTCCCTCGAGTGATCCGATTGGTGGAGCTGTGGCGTCTCAACAAACCCCCCAGAATGCCGTTGCAATGAACAAATTGAGCAGCAGCACCCCCCTCCCCTCCACTCCGCCACTTGCGTGTGGGCTGAGCGTAACGTTTGGTGGCGATGTATAATTTATTAACTTTTCGCTCCGACCACCAGAGCATTGATAATTTCACGAGTGCATCGTCGTAATTTCACAGTGGAGCTGCGGCGGCGATTCACTATGCATACATATGTGACTACATCACCCTCGCGAGAAGTCAAACACGTGTAAATTAAGAGAAAAGAGAGATTAAAGGGACTCTAGGATCAGTGGCCACGTTGCAATGCGCTTCTATTGCTGATTCATTCATTGCCAGATTTCTTAAATGGGAAATTACCAGAGAAAAAAGGGGCCACTTCTGGCATGGAATCTTATTCACTGCTGGGTTGCGTTGTCCATGCTCTCAGCAAAGCTCAAGAGAAACACGTTGTGCAGCAGTTGCTGGCTGTGCCGTATGGCCGGAGTTGTGTTAAATACGGCGGCTTGCAATGAAGATACAGGAGTGTGTTGGAGATGGGAACGTCTTTGTCAATTACCGCACTGCTGTGTACATTCCGCACATGTCAACTCGGCGCGTCGTACGTCAAACACTGGCTACTTGTCCTACCCGTTGCAAATATGTAATAACAGCCTACTGTGACAAAATAACTAATGGTACATTTTTGTATTGCTCACGCCTTCGTGGGTAAATCTGATTAGAGTGTGACTAAAAACGTTTTTATGGCGTATGGAAGCTGTATTGTGCATATGGATCCGTCATAAACGTATACATAAGGGTGGGGGGGGAGTGTGGGGCTGTTGATGTATAACCACTTTAGTTGGTTGACCTTTTTTTAACTCGGATGTAGATAAATGCCTGTGTTATTGGACGTTTTGCTGATTTTACGCGTTCGTTCTTAGGGTGTATTTTTGGTCGCGCAATATCAGCGATGAATTCCGTGGCGCGGCGTTGTCCCTGTAATTTGACAGTATAGCGGAACCCCCATTGCCTTAGGCCCAGTTACCGTCTGCTTCAGGATCATCCGTGCGGTTGTCACCGTGAGCCCAGTCACGAGTCTTGTTTCGGCGACAAAAAAATTGCCCCACGATTATTTTGTCCCCCGGAAATGTTTCAACATGTTGAGGTTATTATTTTTTTCTTTACTCTTTATCCATTCCTCATTGCATCGACGCGATTGCAATGCGCTGTCATAAATACGTTTTTTTTTTTAAAAAAAAGTCGAGTTTTGTTTTGTATTGAAGTGCATCGCCGTGCCGATACGGGCGTGGCGCGCGAGTTGTTCACGCGCAGTTTGCGAAGTTGAGACGCGCGCCGCGGCGCACGCTGGCCACTTTCAGCCACTATAAATACAGATAATGATTCTGAATAAAAGCGTTTGTTACAGCCTCTGCAGTTCGGCTGCATTCTTCCGTCACCGCTGAGCCACCGAGACGCCATTGCTTTTTTCCGTGTACCCTGCCTTCATCAACGCACAGTGACCATCGCGGTGAAAATGGTCAAACAACCTCCAGAGCTCAGCCAGCAGGGGACTTACAAGAGGGCCGTATCTGTGTACGGTGCATGCCACACTACATTCACCAAACAGAATATCTTTCCCATCTCAATGGCAGCATTTGCAAAAAAAAATCTACGTAATTACTTCGCGCTTCCTGTGATTGCAAGAGTGGCTTTAGAATGAACTAAATTATATGATGGTATGATGGTTTCAAAAAGATGTATCTGAATTCGGTGACGTCAATGTGCGACCTCTGGAGTCAGTAAATAACCTCTTTTGGCCCAATTTTGAATAATTTGTCTCTCCGCCAACTGCTTCCCACTCAGCGCTGGCACTCGGAGACGAAGCCGCAACAACATCCCCGGGAAAGGAGCCAAAACAAAACATGTAACAACGCTGACGGTGGAGGGCTTCAGAGAAACGCATCTCGACATAAACACTCCCCCTCAAAATTACAACAATAATCGTAAAACAAAAACAGAACAATGCCGTCCAAAGTTCTCCTCGCCATCTTATTGTAACGTGCTTCAAGGGGGCGCGATGAGAAAAAAATATCTAATTGTTAGCTACGAACCTCGCCACCTGGGTTCGATTCCTGGCCACGGCTAACATCAGCGGTGATAGGTTCCTGAGCTCACCCTTCACTGGTCCGCACTGACCACAGTGCGGTGAAGGACGGTCAAATGGCCCCCATGACCGCGACGGCGTGGGGAGGCCTTCATCGAGCAGTGAATTGGCAAAGGGTTGTGAATTATTATTATGATGCTCAAGTGAGCTTTCCACTGCTCCCACAATATGCGTTGTGTACGGTTTGTGAAATGCGGACTGGGATATTAGTTTTTGATTGCAGATTGCTTCTCTGCTGTACCGTGACCTTGACATAATTTTGCTTTCACCCGCCGTATCCTGGGAATAGGAGATCACAGGGCTGCCCAGGTTGGACTCTTGCAAAGTTGAAATTTATGCAAATGAGGCTAGCTAAGTGGATGTGTGTAGTGCAGATGGGGGCCGCCGTGGGTGGTTACGACAACACCGCAGGCAGGGCTCGATTGAAGACCACCTCGCCTTGTTCACAAGCACCGTGTGTCGCACACGGAAGGAGGCCCGCCGCGCGAAAAATGGCGACACCCTGCGCCTCCATCGTTTGCCTTCCCGCACCGATGAACGGGACGCGTCCGAGAGGACGTCCACCGGAGTGGTGGAGTTTTGATGCACGGGTGCCGGGAGGATTCGTGACATCGCAGGATCGTGAGAGGTGGCGGCGGCTGCGGCTGCGGCTGCGGCTTGGGGCCAACTTCATCCAGCAGTGGATTGACCACGGCTGGTGAAGATGGCCGATCACGGTCAACAGTCGCCGATGTTGGGATGTAGAGGTGGCGCATCGCATGCTTAGAGCAACCACATGCTGATCCCGGTGACCTGTTGATGATTCCCAGCCACAGCTGACATTGGTGGCGAGCGATAACTGAGCCATTCATGGGCTCCCCTCCTCCTTTAACAACCTGAAATGACAAAAGTGGTGAGGAATGATCACAAACCTCCGTGGCCAACACAGTGGGCTGACAAGGACCTTAAAGTTGTTATAAGTTGGACCCAATTTCTATCCATCTATCTAATTGATTACAATGTCTAGCATATTCATATAGGCAGAGGGAGCTGTGAGATGCAATAGCATGTAAGCACCCGTTGAGTGGCAAATCCTTACGAGTCGGACATCAATTATCTGCTACATTTTCAACCGAAGCAGAGCGTGTCACCTGTCTCGCTCTGCAAATCCGCGGCCGTGCAGACGTCACAATGCGCGCGGTGAGAGCGATCCGGTCTCGAGTAAAAGTCACGCTTCTTAGCATAATAACCATCGAGGCGGTGCATCAGCAGCAGTTCACAGCCCCAGGCCAGCCGAGAAAATTCCACATTCCTATGGCAGGTGGGCGAATCTTTCCATCGAATAACGGCTGTCAGCGGTGGCCATGAACGTGTGCGTTGTTTTTTTTTAGTTTGTTTTGTACGTGCTCGAATATCAGCAGTGGTGCACGTGTGGTGGTGGTGGTGATGACGATGCGTGTTGCTGCTGCTGCTGCTACTGCGCACACACACACACACACACCGTGTCTCTGCGTGTACTGCCGTGGTGTGTGCTGGGGGGAGAGCGTGCGATCGCGACCGCGCACGGTGCCCGTGAGCGAGGGCTGACTGCGATTCACCTCCCCCCCCCCCTCTCCCCAACCCCCGTCTCTCTCTCCGCGTCACCTGCTAATTGGCGCGTGGCGCCTGCTAAGGATGGCAGTGTTCCTGGCAGCACTCCCCTATCCCATCCTGGCGCGTTCCTCATTGCTGCTGCTGTCAGCCGATGGTAGGGGGTGGAGGAGTTAAAGGGGGGGGGGGAGAGGCAGGAGGGGGGGGGGGGCTCAGTGGCTTGTGGCTAAAAGAGTCCCTAGGGATTCCAAAGAAATGGATTAAGCCATTGA